ATTTATATTTTAAAAAGGAAAAAAGATGAAATCACTAAACTATGTTTTCATTAATATAGGTTAAAAAAATCCATTTGAATAATTGTAGGGCCACAAATGTAGTTGGTTCACTGATCAAAGTTTCTGTTGTTGCCATGTAAGCCACACAAACCGGCATCATCATCTTATTTTTTACGATTTAGATGATTAAGTGTGAAAAATATCACTGTGGATGCTCATTGTATGTTGAATACACTAGCTACAGTAAAGGAACCTAACATTATGGTACTGTGCTGGAATCCCAAAACGAGAATGGGAAATTGTTGTACAGTCTAAGCCCTGAATCATTTCTTCCTTAGTTAGAGGTTAAGGTAAAAGTATTTTGAATATTTTTATTATCAGTTTCCAGTTCACTTTGCACCAGGTTTTTGGTTGGTTGATTGATTAGCCTTGAAAAATAGCCATATGAAAACTAAGTAGGATTAATGTGCAATGATGGATGATGTTCTCATTGTATCTTTAAAACCGTGTCTTTTTTTTTTTGAGGAGTCTCACTCTGTCACCCACATTAGAGTGCAGTGGCACCAACTCAGCTCACTGCAACCTCCGCCTCCTGGGCTCAAGCGATTCTCCTGCCTCAGCCTTCCGAGTAGCTGCAATTACAGGTGCCGACCACCATGCCTGGCAAATTTTCGTATTATTAGTTGAGACAGGGTTTCACCATGTTGACCAGGCTGGTCTCGAACCCCTGACCTCAAGTGATCCGCCTGCCTCGGCCTCCCAAAGTGCTGGGATTACAGGTGTTAGCCACTGCGCCCGACCTAAAACTATGTCATATTTTATTTATCCCTATAATTTAGCACAACTTCTTCGTGCTACTTTTAGAGTTACAACTTCTTAAATTATATTAAAATATATGTATATAACAATGAGAAATAACAAAATTATAAGAATTTTGGTAGAATAGCAGATTTATCTACATTCCTCTCTAAAGTTTTATGTTTATCATCTTCGTGTAAATTATTTTAAATACTAATCATTTAAGATCATCATTAATATTTCTATAATTTTGGATTTTAGTTAGGCAAGTAAACTTCCATCTCCTAAGTATATGTTTGGTTTTATACAGACTGATGATAGGTATATACTTAAGTATGGGTATATAGGTATATACATACATAAGTCAAATAGAAAGGATGGATTTATAGTTCCATCTTGAATAATATACTGATTATAAATCTATGTAATATAAAAATAACATAGTTTATATATTATCTGGTAATGAAATTTAGTGAAACATTTTAAAACCAGTATCATTGTCTATTGGTTAGGAAAGATGAAGTTAACTTTAAACATTGATATGTTTTTGACATCTGATAAACGTTTGTATACTCTAATCCACAATATATTCACACATTTACTATGACTATATAGATAGGAATACATGTGGTGATGATTTTCTGTCACTCCAAGTTTTTACATATTTTTTAATTTATAAAAGTTACTTAAAAGACAGGATTTTCATTACCAATTTGAAAGACCAAACAGGGAATGCTAGATTCTAGCCAGGATTCGTCTGAATTAACGTATTATAGAACGAGAGAATCTGGGAATAAGAGTGGCTGAATAACAATTAAAGATGAAATGTATTAAAATAAAATATAATAATGTTTTTAGGCTGAGTTAGAATTGTGCTGAAGATAGTCTTTGGGCTCAGTATTCAGCCAAAATTAGCTATTTGGCTTTGGCTTCATTCTATGCTTATGGAAGTCTAAGTAGCCAAATGCCTACTTCTGGCATCCTGGATTTACTGCTTAATCAATGATCCTGTGCTTGCATAGATTACTATTGTATGTAATTGTAGCAACAACACTAGCAATATGAACAATCCATGTCAGGCAAAATTGTTACCATGTCAGTATTCCCTTTCAAATATCACAAAGTTTTCCATTTGTAACTTGGGGGAAAAAAAACTTATTTGGTGCTTTATGTGCTAAAATTTCATCAGTGAATTCAAGTTTAAATGTACATTTATCATTGCAGGTATAAAACTCTGCCAAGCTACCTGTGAATGCTGTTAATTTTATGTTTAAAAAACTAGTAAATACTCACATATATAGAAAAATATTGAGTGTGTTGAGTTAGTTTTTGAAAAAAATATAAACAAGATTCAGATTAAATTATATTATAACTCTATAATTATTGTAGAATTATTTTGTGAACTAGAATGTATAATGTTAACATGAATTTAATCCATTTATCTCATAAATCTTTTTTTAAAGTTTTATTTGGCAATTCTTTACATCTTGAGAGGAAGACTCAAAAGCAATGTGTCAACTTTGCCACATTAAAATATGACTAGAAAAATGAAATATCATTGGTTTTGTAATAGAATATCAATCAAGCTTTTAAAATGCAACCTATAAAAAATGATAGTACTAATTTTTGTTAATATCAGATGTATTCATATATCCCAGAAGTTCTGTCTTTGGTGAAGATAATTTCTCTTTGATCTCAGTTTCAGCTGAATACCTACTTCTGCTAAATTTGGCATTTGGACAAAGTGTGTATTTAATTCACCTCTCAGACAGGCATTTTAAAGATGGACATTGTATCTGTAGGTGATAGTAGACCTCTTGTCAAATATAAATCAATAATATGTTGAGTTTGTCAAATTATAAGTGAACACCCAGGTCTCTGAAGGATACTCCAGAAAGTGGAACTCTCTTCTGAAGAACAGAGATAGGTATCCAGAGGTCAAGGCTGGTAGGGAAGTCTACTTTTGTAATATATACCCTTTTCTGTGATTCAGTTTTTCTGGCCATGTGTGTATGCTAGTTTTTAAGTTTCACATCATAAAATATAAAATTTTAAGATGAAAACTGAAAAGTATATAGTAATATCTCAGTGATTCCAATTCAAATATTAAATATCAATTTGGCTTAACGGAATATATATGATACAAATGTTTCTACCAAAACTCACTTTTATTACTTTAAATTATAAGTAACCTTAGAAAATAAGTAGAGTATCACTAAATAAGTTCGTTAAAAATTAACGGTATACATACTTTGCATCATAATATATACAATTATTTGTTTAACATTTAAAAATCAATTACTGGACCCAGAAAAAGAAACGACATTGAAAAAATCTATTATTTTTTTGAGTGTGAAAAAGCTGCTAAGGAGATTTTTTTACTAATAAAATTGCTTTTTACTTATTTTAGTA